ATCGAGTGTTGGCTGGGTCAATGATGACAATCCAAGTGGAAAATTCCCTCGCCGAGCCATCGGCATCAATGGCAAGTTCCCCGCCGATCCCCTCTCTGTCAACTCGGACAACTTTGTCCACATCAACTTTACCAACAAGTTTGGTGATGGACGCCCGTCCACACTGCATGCACACGGACTCTTCTTCACGAACGTAAACTACTACGATGGTGCTGCTAGTGTGACACAGTGCCCTGTCCCGGATGGATACTCGTTCTACCACGAGATTCTCAACTCGCCAAAGAGTGGCGAAAATGCACCCAAGCAGTGGGGAACCTATTGGCTGCATGGACACTACAAGGGTCAGTATATTGATGGCCTTCGGACACCATTCATTATTCACCGTGCCGAGGGAGAGGCGTACGAATACGACGACGACTACACGGTCGTGATGGCAGACTGGTACCACCACCAGCACGGATACATTATGCGACACGACTACATGACAAATGGTGGTGACTATCAGACGCCCGACTCCGGTCTGTTGTATTTTGCGCACACGAAAGCCAACCATACGGCCAAAACCTTGAAGGGCATCAATGAGAATGCGACTTTACCGTTTGAGCCTGGCAAAATGTATCGATTGCGGCTAATTAACATGTCAGCTGCCTCTGTATTTGATTTCTGGCTTGAGGGTCATGACATGGAGGTGATCGAGGTCGATGGCGTGGACGTGGAACGGTATCCAATTGAGTCTGTTCAGGTGGCCATTGGACAGCGATACAGTGTGCTGGTAAAGGCGCGAAATGAGACCGATAAGAACTGGCGCATCCATGCGAATATGGAGGGCGGCACGTTCCCGAAAGTGGGCTCGCTCAAGCTCAACTTGACAGGCACGCTCACTTACGGCCAAAAGGATGCAAAGATGGGAGATGGAAAAAAGAATCGCCGCACGGACGTCAAGCCATTCGACGACACAAAGCTCGTGCCAGTTAAGAAGATCGAGTCGAAAGAGCCTGACATGCGGGTGAGTCTTGAAGTCAAGATGAAAGAGGGGCGCAAGCACGGCAAGCCGATGGGCTTGATCAATGGAACGACATATGTCGCGCCAAAGACGCCCACGATGTTGACCATGACGGCGAAGAACACGACGAACCCGATGGATGCTGGCACGTATGGACGCAACGTGAATGCAGTGACTGCACCATACAATAGCATGGTGGAAATGACGATTTTGAACTTGTCGGATGATGTACATCCGTTCCACATGCACGGGACCAAGTTCCAGGTGGTTCACAGGGCGTATGGAACTGACGGTACGAAGCCGCAGGTTCCCAAAGTCGAAGAGCAAGAGAATCCGGTTCGAAGGGACACGGTGGCAGTGGATGGATTCGGGAGTGTAACGATCCGATTCCTCGCGAGCAATCCAGGTGCGTGGTTCATGCACTGCCACATGGACTGGCATCTATCTGCAGGCCTGGCGATGGTGATGGTCCAAGCGCCAGAAAAGGCAAAAGAGGTCCTGAAAGTGCCATCCTACGTGGAGGAACAATGCAGAGTATGGAAGAAGCAATCAGATCACAAGGTGCGAGGACCTTGATTGACAAATAGTACTCTCAGCAGTTTCAAGACAGTAGTACATACAGAGGTTGAACGAATAGTTCCCGCATCAGTGTAGCAAAGAGTTGGAGCTATGCATGACATTGTTTCGTCTATTGGCCCTTTCCTTCCACCTGCTCTCGGTGCATCCTCTCCGAATTTTCAAGGAATGAAAGTGCAGCTGTGAGGGATTTCTACCCAGTAGCTGAACCGTTCTACTGGAGTGATGCTAGAGGGACAGCTGGCACAGTAAAAATGAGTGTACGAGTGCAACAGGCGAGTGGAGGAATGAACGAGCGATTTGGGCCAAATTTGAGAAAAATTTGGATTGAGCGGCACCGAGGGAGGCAAATTTATTTTACATCCACATGTGCATGATGTCTCAAGTCAGACATGAGAATGGGGGGATGGATTGAACGCGAAGAAACTCGCTCGAAGACATAGACAAGACCAATGAAGACCAAATGTACCAGCAAAAAGAGCGCAAATGGCATTACCATGACGACTAGGTCCAGCACATACACAAATGCCTGCCCGAATGCCCCGCAACCGGTTTCAGGAACAAGTCAGGAGCGGGTGTGTTCATTGCCATGGACCTTAGATGCTATGGGAAATTCCAGCGAAACAATAACGAAACTGCATCGAGGCAGCACGCGTCGACGTTTTATGGCATAAAATGTGCTCTGCTAGAGACGGCGAAGAATGAGGGGGTACTATCAAGATACAAATTTGCGAGCGCAAGACACTGTTAGACAGGCGGCACACTACAAACAGAAACGTGATCTACAAGCTGCTGCAAAATCTCATAGAGAACACGGCATGCGTGACAAAAGTAGCACTGATGAACATAGAGACGGGTCAAAGCGAGAGCATGGATGAGAATGCGAAAGTGATGCTGAAAGCACAAGATGGCAAGATGAAGAAACATGATCAACAACAGTGGATCTGAGAGGCGCGTAAACCATTGGGAAAGGTGGAGTGCGGGGAAGTCACAGATGAGATGGGGTGAGCTGCAGTGACCATATTGTGCCGAAAAACACGTAGAATGAAAGAGCTGACGTGATCCCATGTGTATAAATAGAGTTACGAGAGAGAGAGAGAGTAAGAGAAAGAGAGAGAGAGAGACGGGAAGACGGAAATACAGCGGGACGTACAGACGGAGACGGAACGGAAGAAACGTGGACGGAGCGTGGGACAGGGAGGAGGGAGGTAGTGGAGGAAGGATAGGGAGAGGAAGAAGGACAGGGAAGGACTATAGGAGGGAGGAAGGAGGGAGTGGAGAGAGAAAAGGAAAGAGAAGAGTGGGGGGGTAAGAAGAGGGGAAGTACAAGGGAGAGAGTAAAGGAGTGGAGG